GGACTACTGTAACGCTCTCTACATGGGGCTCCCCCTGGGGTGCACCCGGAGGCTCCAGCTGGTCCAGAACGCGGCCGCGCGGGGGATTATGGGGGCGACGAGGCGCTCCCATGTGACACCTCTCCTGTGCGAGCTGCACTGGCTCCCGGTGGTCTTCCGGGTGCGCTTCAAGGTGTTGGTGACCACCTTTAAAGCGCTCCATGGCTTAGGGCTGGGGTACTTACGAGACCGCCTTCTGCCACCAATAGCCTCCCACCGGCCAGTGCGCTCACACAGAGTCGGCCTCCTCAGGGTGCCGTCCACCAGACAATGTCGGCTGGCGACCCCCAGGGGGAGAGCCTTCTCTGTGGTGGCGCCTTCCCTCTGGAACAACCTCCCCCCAGAGTTACGTACAATAACAGACCTCCAGATTTTTCGTCGGGCCCTGAAAACCCATTTATTTCAACTAGCTGGGCTGTCTTGAGTCAAATTTTAAACTGATTTTAAATTGGAATTGTTTTAATCACGGCCAAAAGATTTAATTATTTTAATCAGTTTTTAGATTTTGTATGTTTTGTATGTATGTCTTGTTTTTATTTTCGGCTGTTCACCGCCCTGAGTCCTATATTGGAGAAGGGCGGTATAGAAATTTAAACAAACAAATAAATAAATAAATAAAACCCCAAAGAGCCTCAGCCTGCTGAGGATTTCTGCCCAAGGCGCTCCCTGCAATCAGAATTATTCAACCCTTCCCTTTGGAGCTCTTCTGCTCTATCAGCTGATACCCTCCCCCGCAGGTTCAATGGGTGCATGGATTGCCACTTTGCTCAATTTTGGCACAGCCACAAGGCCAGAACCCAGAAATCATCAGCAAGAATATAAAAATCAGAGATGCAGTTTCCTAACATTCTAGGTAGGAACTAATGAGGCCTCCCAAGAGATGGTACTTATTTTCATTTTTAAACTCAGCGGTCAATTATTTTGGTCACTACATTACAAAAAAGTTGTTGAGACTTTGGAAAAAGCGCAAAGAAGAGCAACTAAGATGATTAAAAGCCTGGAGACTAAAACATATGAAGAATGATTGCAGGAATTGAGTTTGGCTAGTCTAGAGAAAAGAAGGACTGGGGGGGACATGACAGCAGTATGCCAGTATTTGAGTGGCTGCCACAAAGAGAGGAGGTCCTTATTTTCCAAAGCATCTGAAGGCAGGACAAGAAGCAACGGATGGAAACTAATCAAGGAGAAAAGCAACCTAGAACTAAGGAGAAGTTTAATGACGGTGAGACCAATTAACCAGTAGGACTTGTTTCTAGAAGTTATGGGTGCTCTAACACTGGAGGTTTTTAAGAAGAGATTGGACAGTCACTGGTCTGAAATGGTATAGGGTTTCCTGCTTGAGCAGAGCATTGGACTAGAAGGGTCATTCCATGTCAAGTGGTCTGGGGTTTCCAGGTCGACCATCACGGATTTTGATGAAATTTGGTGTGAACATGCACACACGTCCCCAACGAACATTGGTAAAGTGTTATGTTTGCCGATGCAATACTTGCGGAGATATAGTCATTTGTATGACCCCATACTGCAGCCCTCGACAGTATGACTCTGAAATTTCAGCAACTTTGAGACATAATATCTCCGGCAATATTTTGTTGAGAGAAACAAAACTTGGCCATTTTGTACAACCTGTTGTGCTCTATTAAACAAAATAATAAAAACATTCTCATGAGCGATCTCAATCTAGATAATTGGGAGCAAAGTTGAGCGAAAATGACTGCAGCGCGAAAAAAGGGTAAAGTTTGGCTTCTTATATCTCTGGAAGGAAAGGTATGAGAAATGTGAAATTTTGTGCGTAATAACTTAGCAACACAAGGTTGTCAAATATAAAATTTCATTCTCCTACTGCTTTCTAATAGTTCACAAATTGAGTGTAAATTTGACGGTTTTGTAAAAGTGCCAAAAATAGGGTATTTTCAGCCCGCTTTTACAAAAAAAGGCCTTCTGGAAACATTGTTAAATCATTCTCATTAGAAAGAGCATGTTTCTAACCCCCTAAAAAAGTAGAGTAGAAATTCATTTTATTGGCCTGAAAGACAAGATGTTTGTTGGGTTCCAGAACCACATCTTATTTGTGTGTTTCCAGCACCTTCACTTACATCGTCAGGTCGACAGTATCAATTCCCAGAAGCAATGCTAAAGAATGTGGCATGTAAATTCAATAATAAGTGATTGTTGGAATTTGGCAGTTCATACTACCAGTATGGACTTTGGCTTGGAAACCATATAAGATACCCACTTTAGGCTTGGGGACCTAAGATAAGGTGCCCAATCGGCAGCTTGAGAACCGGATAGATAGCCACACAAGGCTTTGGAACCTCAAGAAAGAGCCTTGGTAGTACAGTGGTCTAAGGCACCCTGTTATTAAGCTGGTTATTAAGACCAGCTGCCTGTAATTACTGCAGGTTCGAATCTCGCCAAGGCTCAAGGTTGACTCAGCCTTCCATCCTTTCTAAGGTAGGTAAATTGAGGACCCAGTTGTGGGGGCAATAAGCTGACTTTGTATAAATATACAAAAGAATGAAGGCTATTGCTGAGCACATTGTAAGCCACCCTGAGTCTCCGGAGAAGGGCGGCATATAAATCAAATAAAAAAAAAAAAGAAAGAAACCAAACTACAGGCTTGGGATCCTGAACCAAGAAACCCATCCGTGGCTGGTATTGCATGGCTATCAGGTGTTCCCCCTATGGGGATGGGGTTGCTGGATCAAGTGCCTGAACTGGTAGTGATAATGTCACCATGGACCAACACAATATAATAGTAGTAATGATGTCTATATAAAACAAACAAGACAAAACAATAATAGAATGGATGTGACGTTGCCATACAACGTCCTCCACTTTGTCCCTATTTTTAGGGCTTTATACATCAGCGATGAAACACCAACTCTACTTTTTTAGGGGGTTAGAAACATGCTCTATCTAATGAGAATGATTTAGGAGAGTTTCCAGAAGGTCTTTTTTTGTAAAAGCGGGCTGAAAATACCCTATTTTTGGCATTTTTACAAAAACTGTCAAATTTACACTCAATTTGTGAACTATTGGAAAGCAGTAGGAGAATGAAATTTTATATTTGACAACCTTGTGTTGCTAAGTTATTACGCACAAAGTTTCACATTTCTCATACCTTTCCTTCCAGAGATATAAGCAGCCAAACTTTACCCTTTTTTCACGCTGCAGTCATTTTCGCCCAACTTTGCTCCCAATTATCTAGATGGAGATCGCTCATGAGAATGTTTTTATTATTTTGTTTAATAGAGCACAACAAGTTGTACAAGATGGCCAAGTTTTGTTTCTCTCAACAAAATATTGCCGGAGATATTATGTCTCAAAATTGCTGAAATCTCAGAGACATACTGTCGAAGGCTGCGATATGGGGTCATACAAATGACTATATCTCTGCAAGTATTGCATCGGCAAACATAACACTTTACCAATGTTCATTGGGGACGTGTGCACATGTTCACAGCAAATTTCATCAAAATCTATGATGGTCAACCTGGGCACTTTCCTGAAATCAGACCACTTGACATGGAATGACCCAGAAGACCTCCAAGGTCCCTTCCAGCTCTACTCTACTCTACTCTACTCTTATTCAGGAGGTTTTGTGGTTCTTTTGCTATTTGTTGTAGTTAAGGCACCATGCTAGAAAGCAGGAGACCCCAAGTTTTTGTTCCACCTTAGGCATGAAGAGTCTCCTTCAGCCCAACTCACTTCACAGGGTTGCTGTTGTGGGGGAAATAGGAGGAAGAACAAGTATTGATTACCATGTTATCTGTAATAATAATAATAATAATAATAAAGGTGCAATACAACTAAATAGTTGTTAGCTGCCCAGAATCACTTCCTCAAGTTGGGGACTGCAAGGAGAAGCTGATGGCAATCTTGAACGATGCCACACTAGTCAACCGGACTAAACTATATGACTACTTAAGTTTATACAAAAACCCATTCAGACACTCTTCTCCAACCGATCCCTTCTAGCTGTGTGCCGGACTATAAGTCATACCATCTATGTGCTAAAGAGCTAGGCTGCCAAGACAGCTGGCGGGCACTCAGTTGGGGAAACTCCTAGAGTTTATTTCTCTTAAATAAAATAAACTGTGAATTGTGAATAGCTCATGTGAGTTACATGAAAAGCCTCTTTAAAACAAATGCAGTTAGGACACATTCAATGGGTTGCCCTGCTGTGCAGCTGGATGCAACATCTGGTCAACTCCAGCAAAGGATCAAAGAAAGCAGAATTGTGTCTTTCAGTCAGACAGCATTTTCTAATAACAGTGGGGGAGGACATTGGAGGATCTGCTTCTGGCAGCAAACTGTCTTGGGCAGGCAATACAAAATAGTATTTGGGAATGACCTCCGGGGACAAAAGAAAGAGATGCTGCTGAGGGAAGGAGCAAAGAAGAGCAGGGGGAGCATCCAGCATCTTAACCATCAGAGGAGGAAACTTAGGAAGGACCCATCCTAATGGATCAAGGAGCTAAAAGCGACAGTAGGAAGTTTCTACCGTCAGATTTGCAAGATTCTCTTAATATACTTTTAGAATAAAGTAGAATTAGCTCATTAGTCCCACTTCCTGTCTGGTCTACCCATAAGGGCTAACCCACTGCTATGGCAGCTCACGATCTGCTGGGGCCAGCTCCAATGGGATGGGCTTCACTCTGTGCCCAACATGCCCCAAAAGCCCTGCCTCGGCCACCCACCACCACCTTCCCCTTAAACCAAGGGAGTGAAAAGACAACTCCGGATTGAAACCTCTGCTAAAGAGCTCAGTTTCCAAAATCCACCGAGTCCTGCAACAGCATTCATCAAACGTTCATGGTGCGTCCCCTGGAACCTTTGCAAGAACTAGCAACTCTGAGGGAGCCACGTTTGTTAATTTCCCACCCCTGACTGAGCTTCTGCCAAAGCCTGGAGCTTCTGCCCAGGTAGGGAAGGGAGTGCAGCGCCAAGGCTCTTACCCTCAGCCCAATTCCCCATGACCCCCAAGACAGCGGGCATGCTGGGGTACTGCTCTTCGGCTTTGGAAGACTTGGACTTGCTGGCAGAATGGGGCAATTCGTGCTCATGCTGAGGCACAGCCAGCCCTCTTGCGACTGCATCCGAGCCCTGCCCGTACTGGTAGCCGGCAGGACAGGAATCCCCTTCCGAGTCCACCTGGAGCTCCTCTTCAGAAGGAGGAGCGTGGCTCGCCTGCTCAGCAGCCCGCTCTTCCAGCTTGTTCACTTTGAAGGGGGGCCCGTCCGCAGGCTGGGCCAGCCCCAAATGCCTGCTTTTCTTCAGGGACTCCTGTCTCTGGTCGTGTTTGGAGAGAGGCTGGGCGGCTCTTGGGGCGGACGGGTAGTAGCTGAAATTGGTCCAAGAGTTGCTGTTGATCACACACGTCCCTCGGTCGGGGCTCAGGTGGGAGTGGGGGGGGCTGGACTCCGCTCTCCAGCCAGCACTGTACAAGCACAAGCGCTCCACGCCATTGGAGCTGACTTCCTTGTCCGAGAGGCTGAAATAGCGGTCCTTCTCCTTCTCACTGATGTCCAGGGATGACTTGATGAAAGTCTTGCAGACGCTGATGACATCGGTCATCTGCAGGAAGCTGGCGGCCGACATGACCTCGATCACATTCTGGCCGGTGAGGGAGAGTTTGCCTGAATACACAAAATCCAAAATCACCGAAAAGGTTTCTGGGGAAAAGGCCTGGAACGTGGCGGTGGTAGGCTGGCCGGCCTCCTTGGAGCACTGGGAGAGGAGCATTTTGAAGTAGCCGCTGCTGGCGAAGAGCACATTGCGGTGGGCTTTGAAGACCTTCCCCTCCACCAGGATGCTGCAGTCGCAGAACAGATCCTGCTGGCGCTGCTCATTTAACTGCTGCAGGAGGTGGGACTGGTGGGAAGGTATCTCCATTCTGAAACCGGGCAGGGTGTATGCTGCAAAAGAGCAGAGGGAGAGCCTATTTTACATACCCACAGTGGCTGCAACGTTTTTAACAGGAAGCTATATTCAGACCTTGGGACACAGAGATACACCAATTCATTCATTCATTCATTCATTTCTATAGCTATTTGTGTAGCTGCCCATCTCAGTCAATAACTTTGGGTGACCTATAATCCCAAGAGTATAAAAACAATTAATTCAATAAAAAGTGTTTTAAAAACAGTAAAAAACATCAAAAATAACTAGCCAAGATGCTTAGCCAGTTAACAGTAAGAGCCAGGAAGCTGGGCCCTTAGCACCTTCAATGCCCAGGGCTTGGGAACACAGCCAGGCTTTTAGAGCTTTACGACAGGCCAAGAGAGTTGAGGCCCTACTAATCTCCGAGGGGAGGAAGTTCCACAGAGCAGGGGCCATTGCAGAAAAGGCCCATCTTCCAGTCCCACCAGCCAACCCTCTTTGACTGATGGGATATGCAGCAGCCCCCATCTGCTAGATCAAATTGGACGGTAGAGACTCTGGTGAAAAGGCTCCCCCTTGGACAATGGGGATGGTCTGCCAGGAAGTCAGACAGAAGGGGTGAGCTGGACTGCTGGGCACAGAACGGCTTGCTCACTCTAAGAGGCAGCAAATCCCTTCTGGCTTACCTGAAGATGCCGAGGACTGATCCTAGAAGCTTTCTTTAGCTAAAAGCATGGAATTATGGATTCCCCCAAAGAGAAATAAGGCTCTAGTCCATAGGGTTCTAAAGAGAAGAATTATTTAAATAATGAAATTGTGGGAGCCCACCTTGGCTGCTTTAAGATGGATGGACTTCATCTCCCAGAATTCCCCAGCCAGGTTCCCAGGATTCATTTTGCATACCCCACTGCAGGAGATGATTGTTATTAGCCTGTTCTGGGATTAGAGCTTTTAATGCTGACTGGGGAAGTCTGGGAGCTGAAATCCTCCTAATTTAAAGCTGTTGAGGTTGAGAAACACAGCAACTATTAGAAACAATTCTTCAGGTTTCAGGCAAGCACCTGCATGCACGCACGCACGCACGCGCGCACACACACACACACACACACACCCTGGCATCCCCAGCTCTGCTCCTGCTCTACTAGTGAGCATTAATACATTCCGTGGTGTTGCTCCTTGCCTTGCTGCTGGATCTGACAAGATACAGGGTGGAATAGTCACCAGCTGTTTCTTCCTTCCTGCCTAACATCACACCAGCCCTCATGCAGTGTCAATCATTATATCTGCTGTCTCCCCCTGGCTGGATAGCAGCAAGGTGGAGGGCTTAGGGGCTCCCAATGTTTGAAAATGTTTTCAGTAGCTACCAAAGTGTAGCGATTGTTTCTATAGTGCAGCACTTCTCAACCTTGGCAACTTTAAGAAGTGTGGACCAACTCCCAGAATTCCTCAGGCAGTCATGCTGGGTGGGGAATTCTGGGAATTGAAATCCACACATTTTAATGTTGCTAAGGTTGAAAAATATTGCTGTAGTGGAAGCCTTCTCTTTCCAGCCTATCACTTTCTTCCTTCTCCCTACCTAATTAGTGCACAGCCGTTACTTCAAAGGGACCAGGTTTTGGGATTTGTACAAAATAGCTTTGATTAACAATTGACCCAAGACACTTTGGAGTTACATGTTTTGGGGAGGGTATAGTGTAGTATGCAGGGGAATTGATTTGATGATCTCTTAGGCCCCTTCCAATTCTATGATTCTATTATCCTCTTTCTGACTCCGAGTTTATTTTTATTTATTTATTTTATTTCCAATTTATATGCCGCCCTTCTCCCTGAGGACTCAGGGCGGTGTACAGCCAGAATTAAGAACATGAAATACAAATATTAAAAAACAATTAAAATATATATAAATTTGGCCCAAAAATTAAAAATCACAAACCAATTAAAACATTTAAAAATTTCTTCTTAAGCCAGCCCGGCTTGCTGGAAAAGGTAGGTTTTAAGGGCACGGCGGAAGGCACTGAGGTCTTGGATTCTCCTTATCTCTGGGGTCAACTGATTCCAGAGGGTAGGCGCCCCCACAGAGAAGGCCCTCCCCCTGGGGGTCACCAGCCTACATTGTTTGGCTGATGGCACCCTGAGGAGGCCCTCTCTGTGGGAGCGCACGGGTCGATGGGAGGTCATCGGTAGCAGCAGGCGGTCTCGAAGATAGCTAGGCCCTATGCCATGGAGCGCTTTAAAGGTGATGACCAAAGGTGATGACGCGCACCCGGAAGACCACCGGGAGCCAGTGCAGCTTGCGCAGGAGCAGTGTTACATGGGAGTGCCATGCTGCTCCCGTCACTACCCGCGCTGCTGCGTTCTGGACCAGTTGGAGCCTCCGGGTGCTCTTCAAGGGGAGCCCCATGTAGAGACCGTTGCAGTAGTCAAGGCGAGAGGTGACGAAGGGCATGAGTGACTGTGCACAGGGAATCCCGATCAAGAAAGGGCCGCAACTGGCGAATCAGGCGAACCTGATAAAAGGTCCCCCTGGTTACAGCCGTCAGATGTTCCTCCAAGGACAGCTGCATATCCAGGAGGACTCCCAGATTGCGAGCCCTCTCTGTGGGGGCCAAAGACTCGCCCCCAATAGTCAGTGATGGAGTCAACTGACTATATCGGGATGCCAGGTGCCACAGCCACTCAGTCTTGGAAGGGTTGAGCTTGAGCCTGTTCCTCCCCATCCAGATCCGCACAGCCTCCAGGCACTGGGACATCACTTCAAGGGCATCGTTGGGGTGGCCTGGGATGGAGATGTACAACTGGGTATCATCAGCGTACTGGTGGTATCTCACCCCGAAGCCATGGATGATCTCACCCAGCGGCTTCACATAAATGTTGAACAGAAGGGGCGAGAGGACCGATCCCTGCGGCACTCCACAGATGAGAGGCCTCGAGGTCGACCTCTGCCCCCCTGCCAACACAAACTGTGACCGGTCGGAGAGAAAGGAGGAGAACCACCGTAACACGGTGCCTCCCACCCCCAACTCTTCCAGCCGGTGCAGCATGATACCATGGTCGATGGTATCAAAAGCCGCTGAGAGATCTAACAGGACCAGAACAGAGGAGCAACCCCTGTCCCGAGCCCTCCAGAGATCATCAACCAACGCGACCAATGCCGTTTCCGTGCTGTGCCCAGACCTGAACCCCGACTGGAACAGATCTAGATAAGATGTTTCCTCCAGGAATTGTGGAAACTGTCGCGCGACCACACTCTCAACAACCTTCGCCATGAAGCGAAGGTTGGAGACAGGATGGTAGTTGGCCAATATTTATTTATTTATTTATTTATTATATTTCTATACCGCCTTTCTCCCGTAGGACTCAAGGCGGTGTACAGCCAAGAAAAACATAGACATACAAACACCACAAAATTGCTAATTAAAATTGCCACTTAGTTTGGTCAATTAAATAAAACCCAGAATTAGATAACATTTAAAAAATCATTCGCATGTTTGTATGTTTAGCCCTGCCTGTTGGAACATCAGGGTCTTGAGGGCACGGCGGAAAGCACGGAGATCAGGAATATTCCGTATCTCCGGGGGCAGTTCATTCCAAAGGGTTGGAGCCCCCACAGAGAAGGCCCTCCCCCTGGGAGTCACCAGTCGACATAATTTGGCTGACGGTACCCTGAGTAGTCCCTCCCTGTGAGAACGAACTGGTCGGTGGGAGGCTATTGGTGGCAAAAGACGGTCTCGTAGGTACCCAGGTCCTAAGCCATGGAGCGCTTTAAAGGTGATAACTAACACCTTGAATCGCACCCGGAAGACCACCGGGAGCCAGTGCAGCTCGCGTAGAAGAGGTGTTACATGGGCGTAACGAGCTGCACCCATAATCACCCGCGCGGCTACGTTCTGGACCAGTTGGAGCCTCCGGGTGCTTTTCAAGGGGAGCCCCATGTAGAGAGCATTACAGTAGTCCATACGGGAGGTAACTAGGGCATGAGTGACTGTGCGCAAGGTGTCCCGATCCAGAAAGGGACGCAACTGGCAGATCAGGCGAACCTGATAAAAGGTACCCCTGGCCACGGCCGTCAAATGATCTTCTAAAGATAACCGTGAATCCAGGAGGACACCCAAGTTGCGGGCCCTCTCTGTGGGGAGCAAGATCTCATCCCCTATTGTCAGTGATGGTACCAGCTGACTATACCGGGACGCCGGAAGCCACAGCCACTCGGTCTTGGAGGGGTTGAGTCTGAGCTTGTTTCTCCCCATCCAGATCCGCACGGCCTCCAGGCAACGGGACATCACAGCAAGGGCATCATTGGGGTGGTCTGGGGTGGAGATGTATAGCTGTGTGTCATCAGCATACTGATGAACACTCACCCCAAAACCACGGATGATCTCACCTAGCGGTTTTACATAAATGTTGAACAGAAGAGGTGAGAGGACTGACCCTTGCGGCACCCCACAAATAAGGTGCCTCGAGGTCGACCTCTGCCCCCCTGCCAACACAAACTGCGAACGGTCAGAGAGGAAGGAGGAGAACCACCGAAGCACAGTGCCCCCTATTCCTAACCCCTCCAGCCGGTGCAGTAAGATACCATGGTCGATGGTATCAAAAGCCGCTGAGAGATCTAATAGGACCAGGATTAATTAATATTGCCGGATCCAGGGACGGCTTCTTGAGGAGAAGCCTCACCACCGCCTCTTTCAAGGCAGCGGGGAAGTGACCCTCATTCAACGAAGCGTTGATAACACCCTGGAGCCAGCCTCGTGTAACCTCCCGGGAAGCCAGTACCAGCCAGGAGGGACACGGGTCCAGTAAACATGTGGCCGCACTAAGTCTCCCCAAAATCCTGTCCACATCATCGGGAATCACAGCATCAAACTCTTCCCAGGTAACATTCTCAAGACTATTCCTCGTCACCCTGCCCTGATCTACCCAGTCAGAGTCCAAATCCCCCAAGATCTGAGCAATTTTGTCATACAGGTATTGTCCGAAATCCTCCGCCCTGCCTTCTAAGGGATCCTCCCGCACTCCCAGATGGAGCAGGGAGTGGGTCACCCTGAACAGGGCGGCCGGACGATTCCCTGAAGTTGTTAATGTTTCTGGGTTTACACAATTGGCTAATTCCAGAAATGCCTAGTATTGTGTGAATACAGCTACATTGATTGGTGGGCTAGTAGGTGGCATGTAAGCTAAATTGTTGTTGGTGCCCGTGAATCCCCTTTCCATAGAAGTTTCGCCTTAAAAGAAAACTGTGCCCATTGACACTTTGTCAGAAAAATGAGCAGTGGCCAGGGTCTCTGCTCCAAATTCACTTCTCATCAATTTTCCGCAACTGCACAGGAACCCCTTTTCCCCAGAATTGGTTAAGGGTAGAGAGAGGGATTCAAAAAGCTGCCTGATTGGGAAGCTCGTGGAGAAACTTTGGCCATTCTACAGCTGAGTTTTGACAATAAGTCCTGAGTTAAAACCCTTCATTTAGTTTGAAGTTAAAGGGATACTGAAAAATGTATTGAGTATGAGGGGATAATATGAGGAGATAGAAGGGGAACTCATCAAATTTGCAGTCAATACCAAACTGGGGGGAATAGCCAGCACTTTAGAAGATTGGCTTAAGATCCAGAAAAATCATGAACCCTATCCAACAAGATGTAATTCAAAAGTAAGGTACTTAGGTAGAAAAACCAAATACACATGAATAGAAAAGACAGTACTTGGCTCAACAGCAGTAACTCTGAGAAGGATCTTGGAGTCCTAGTGGACAATCACTTAAATATGAGCCAGCAGTGTGCTGCAGCTGCCAAAAAAGCCAATGCAATCCTAAACTGCATCAACAGAGGGACAGCATCAAAACCATAAGAATTTATAATACTGCCCTATACGGCAGTACTGAGTACACTTGGAATACTGCATCCAGTGCTGGTCATCAAGATACAAAAAGATGGTGAAACCCTAGGAGTGCAGAGAACAACAACAAAAATGATAAGGGACCTGGAGACAACCATTTGATGAATGTTTGAGGGTATGACTAGGTATGTGTAGTCTGAAGAAGAGAAGACTCACGGGAGACCGATAGCCGTCTTTCCGTACTTGAAGGGCAATTACAGGGAGGAGGGAGTTCTTATTCTCTTCTAGTCTAGTCTGTAGGCTAGTCTATTTTAGTCCTGTCCAGTCCGGTTTATTCCTCAGCAAAAATGTTCCCATGCAGACCTATTTTTGTTTTGCAATCAGCCCGTTTAGTCAATGGCCATCCTCACACAACAAACTAAGCCCAAAAGCTTGGATACCCACATGACATCTTCTTCCCCAGCTGTCTGCTGCATCTCTGCCACTGTTGTCCAAACTGGACTTTATAAGGAAGACTTTCAGAATGCAGGCAGTTGATAATCTTATAAAGAAATATAAATAGGTTACAGGATGTGTCTGTGCAAAATTCAAAATGCCACCAACCAGGTTCTGATCAGGCAGCTTCAATCTTGGTTACAAAGCAAGGCACATTGATGCATAGTTTACCCAAACTTGGCTTGGGGTGCTGGGCAAACCGTTTGCGCCTTGTTGGAATCTGACACTTAGATCTGAAGGGTCCACCAAAATCGATGGTTGATTAGCGCCAAACTGGCATACTAGGCGGTGTGGGTGAGTTATTCTCCATTACTGTGGTCTTGGCTGCTGCTATCTTCCCTTCTTTCCAAATTCCCCCGTCCTTTTACCAAGAGCAGGGAGGAGCGCGGAGTTCTGGAGGGGGCTAAAGGGCCTCGGGACCTGGGGCCAGGCCCCCCAAAGCAGCCTTCCCCGCCAAGGCTTCTGGCCATTCGAAGCAGCTGCTCAGGTGGACTCGCGCTGGGCGAATCTCTCCGCGGAGCCCGGCTGGTTTCCTCAGGGCGGCAGAAGCCTCCGGCGATGAGAACCGCGGCTAGCCCGCTTAAGTCCCGGAGGCTGGGCGTCCCTCGCTGGCGCGGTTCGGGCAGCATCTCCGGCCTGCGCCTTGAAGGCCAGGGCTGGGGGAGGGGGAATTTCCCGCCCCTCCGCTCTTTGCTGGCAGGCCGGAGGGCCCCGCTGGCGGCTCCCCGGGAATGCGCCGCTCGGTCCGGCGGGGCCAAACCGCCATTTGAAGGGCAGCGCGCAGCGCCGGGGCAGCCGGAGGGTCCCCGCCCTTCAGGTGCGCTCCGAGGACGGCCCAGCGCGGCCACTGAGGAGGCTCCCGCGCCGTGGCGCCCGGGGGCCGAAGGGACACGCGCCGCCTGCGGACGCCCAACCGCCCGCCGCCGCAGCGAGCGCCAAGCGGGCAGCTGGGGAAGCGGCGGGGCCAGCCCGGCCGAAGAGGGAGGACGGCGGCGTATTGGCAGAGGGCGCCGTCAGTCTTTGCCCGCGCTTCCGAATTGGCTGCTCGGCCGTCGGGAGCCCCGGGAGCCCGCCAAGGCAGCGGCGCTGGTGCGGGAGCCCCTGGAGGCTCGCGGGGGGGGGGAACGCCGCTCCCTCTCTCCCGCCCGCCGGATCGCCGGCCGCCCGGCGCTGGTGGCGATGCGGCAGCCCCCGCCCGCCCGCCCGCCGTCGCCCTGCCCGCTCGGTGCCCAGTTTGGGGGCGCCCTGGGCGCCCGGCTCGCAGCGCCGCGCCCGACAGCAGCGGCCGCGCCGCTCTTTGTTGCGAGGAGCGAGCGCCGCGCCCGGGGCGGCGACAGCGGCAAATGGCGCCCGCCCGCCCGCCCCCCGGGGACGCTGGGGCGGCGGGCGATGGGGGCGCAGGCGGGCCCCTTTCCGGGCGAGCGAGGCAGAGGCCGCGGAGCGCGCTCAGCCCACCCGACGCCCTGCTAGCCCGGGCTGCTGCCAGGCGCCGCTGGTGACTTACCGCTCGGCGGAGGCTGGGCTGGGCTGGCTGCGGCTCCGGAGGCGGGCGGGCGGATGGAAGGAGGGAGAGGCGGGGGTGACGGTGGGAGCGTCGAGGGCTCCGCCGCCCGCAGCCCGGCCGGAGAGAAACAAAGGTGGCTGCTGACGTGGGCGGTGGAGAGAGGCGCCCGAGGGCCGGGGACACAATTAAAGGGGCAACGCAGCGAGCGCGGCAGGAGCCAAGCGCGCACGCCGCTCTCCGCCTGGCCGCGCGCGCCCCTCCTCGCCGCTTCGGTTCCGCCGGGCGCCCCCCGCCGCTGCCCCGCCCGGCCTGGCGCCCGTCCGGCTGGCGCTGCCCTCCCAGACGCCCCCGGAACGCCCGCCGGCGCCCTGGCCTCGCCCGCCGGCTCCCCGTCGGGCCGGTGGCTCCCCACGCCCGGACTTCCCCGGCCGCCCGCCGTTTTCGCCCGCCCCCGCCCGGCCTTTGCTGCGGCCCCCGGCCTGATGCGAGACGAGCGGGTCGGAGGAGGCTGATGCCCGGCCGTGGTTCCGTCCACAAGGACGGTCTCGCCGGCCCGGCGGGACCAGGTGGCGAGCTAAGTGGCCGGGCTCCCGTCGCCTCTGACCAAGTCCAAGCGGCCGGGCGAGCTCCGGGAGGCCGTCGGCGGCCGAATGACGGGCCGGAGCGCTTCCGGGCGGTGCAAAGCTCTGCGAAAAACGGATCGGACGATGCCAGGGCGCGCCTGCGGTTCCTGGACGGGCGAGGAACCGGGTGGTTAAAACCGCCTCTTTTCCGGCCGAAACTGAAAAATGCCCGAGGCATCTCGCAGGCCCCGGGATGCACACCCGAAGAACACCCGTGTTTGTCTCTAGAAAGCCCCGGAGGCCATTCGGTCCCGCGCCGCCCGGGGCAGAGAAGGGTGTCCGGCCTTTCCGGAGCTACTGCGACCGCGGCTTTGCCTAAGAGGCGGACTCCTCCCGCCCATCATTCAGTCCTCCGGAGCTCCCGCAATTATTACCCAGCTGGATCGCACCGAAAGTGTCTTTCAATAAAAGGGGTGTGTGTGTTATTTAGTGAGAGGAAGTCTCCACTTTGCCAAAGGAGAGTCAAGATCCCCATAGACGGAGGGTATTGAGGGCAACTATTGTGCATCACTGCTATTCCCGCTCACAGACCAGAGCAGGACTGGCATTAAAAACAGGATGTGACAATTTGCTAACGTCCCCCAGGTTAAACTGTGGCCACCTGTTACGGCTCAAGAAGTCCAAGAATTTATGATCGCTTTTTTAACGCTGAATTTGGAGTTGTGTAAAGAGCCGGGGCTCCTTTTGCTCTTTGGCTATTCTTTACTTTGGTGCAAAAGGATTCTCCATGCGAGAGCTCATTGCTTGCAAAGGAAGAGGGCAGAACATCTGAGATGAAGATCTGAGGGCCGATTCAGTTCATTTTGGAAAACTTTATGGGCAAAGAGGAGGAGTGATATTTGTTTTTTTGTTTGTCCTATGTTACACACATTGTAGTTCAATTTTGTTCAATTGCTATGCACATTAAACACTTGTAGATTAAACTACAAACAGTACACTCTTCCAAATGCTTTTTAATCCTCAGCTTACAACCATTCATTTAGTGACCTTTCAGTTACGTCATTGAAAAAAGTGACATTTCACCACTACCACCTCCCCATTTCCCACCATTAGGTACACAGATGTGGATTGCCCCCAAAGCTTCCTCCCTCATTTCCTCTTTGATGGCATGAATCCAGCAAGGGGCCAGGCCAACAATGGAGATCCTGCCATGCTGCCCCCCTTGACAAGGACATTAGTCCTGCAAAAGAAGAGGGAAGGGGGAGAGAGAGAGAGAGAGAGAACAAGGAAAACCAGGATTAGATCACCTTGGTTTGTCAGGGTATGGGTTGTGGAAGCATTTAAGGAGTTTGGTGGCTTTAAGATGTTTAAGGTCCACTCACTCCGTTTTGGAAGGGGGAAAGTCTTTCCATGCCACTAGGTACTGGATCTTCCCCCAGTGTTTGCAGGAATCCAGGATGTCTTTGACTTTGAACTGCTGCTCCCCTTTGATCATGAGAGGCTCAGGTGGGGCAGGGTGGCATTAGAGGCAGGAGGGAAGAGCACCTCAGGTTTCAGCAGTGGAAAATTGGGTCGATGCACCTGAGTGTAGGTTAATCAGGCATTTAATGGGAAAAGGTCCAACATACTTGGGCCCATTTTTTTCGAGGGTTGCCTGGATTACAAGTATGTGGTAAACAGATACACCTGTTCTCCTGCATTAAAGTCTTTAGGCTTCATGCATTTTTTGTCTGCTTGCTTTTTATAGGTGTCCCTCACCTCTTCTAGCGATTTTCTAGATAGTGGTCAGATGTCTTGTATACCCAGTCTTTGAGAGAGGTGATGGGGGGGGGCATGGGCAATTCCAGTATTGAGGCAAAGTCTTGGTCCATGGCCACCTTGAATGGGATGAATCCTGTGCTGCTATGACAGAATTATTGTATGCTACTTCAGCAAACAGAAGGCGCTCCGTCCAGTTGTCTTGCTGGTAGTTTACATAACACCTGAGGTACTGTTCTAGAAACCCATTAGCTCATTCACACACCCCATTAATTTGGGGGTGATGACTGAAGCTTAATTCCTGGGAGGTCCCCAAAAGTCCCAGAAACTCCTGCCAAAACTTCGAGGTGAATTGGACTCAAAGATTATGCATTGCAGAGCACCATGCTATAGACAATGTTTAATGAAAAGTTTAGCCAAGGCATGGGCAGATGGGATCTTTTGGCAGGCTGCAAAATATACTTGTTTGGAGAATAGGTCCATTACGACCCAGATTACCGTATTTCTTGAGCTCTCAGGGAGTTCTACAATAAAGTCCATGGAGATTTCTTTCCATGGAGCGCTAGGCTCTGCTACTGTTTGAAGGAGCCCTGTTGTTTTCTCTTGCTGTCATTTGGCTGAGGCACATACTGGGCAGCTTGCCATATACTCTTCAATATCCTTTTTCAGCGATAGCCACCAAAACTGTTGTTTGATCAAATGGAGCATTTTATGAACCCAAAATGCTCCATAGTTATAAAGTCATGACTTTTCTCTAGAATTAGTGTCTCTGGCTTTTCGGGACATACAATTTAGTTCCCACCCAAATCAAACCATCTCTTATGGTGCATTCATCCTTATGTTTCTGGAAGCATTCGTCTCCCTCCAGGGTTCCTTTTAAGGTGGCTTCAGTTTTTGGGGCCCTTGCTTTCGTTTGTGCCCTGATGGTTACTGGGGCCACTAGTTGGTGGGAAGGATGACTGGTCTGACTATTTCTGGCTTAAGAGTGAGGCATTCATTAATACTGAGGCATTCTAGATAGTGCATCAGTTAGGAAGATTTTTTCCCACTGGGAGGTATTTCAGTGTGAAATTGAAGCGATTGAAGTATTGCGCCCATCGAACTTGTTTAGGTGACAACTATTTTGGAGTGTGTGTGTTAGGGCCTCTATATTTTTGTGGTCTGTCCAAACCTCGAAAGAAGCCCCGACCACCATCAGAAAGTGCTCCATGTAAGTAATGCCTATCACACTGGTATGCCTCTTTTTCCCAAATGGTTCACCGTCACTCGATGTTGGTGAGTTTTTTGGATGTGTAGGCACATGGTTGTGGGGGGCCCTCCTGGTTTCTTTGTAGGAAGACTGCCCTCACAACCACAATGCTGGCATCGGCTTGGATGACAAAAGGAGCATTTGGGTCTGGGTGCTTTAGGGCTGGCTTGGCTGCAAACAAAGTTATTCAAACGCTGCTTGACAGTTCATTGTCCATTGGAGTGGCTGGCTGTTTTTATCAACTTTGTGACATGGAGAGAGATTTGTGCAAACGATGATAGAAGTTTGCGAATCCTAAAAAGCTCTGCAGCTCTGTTTCCTGGTATGGAGTGGAGCCCAGTCCAGTACTGCACAGACTTTCTCTGGGTCCATTTCTATCTCTTCGTGGGATATTCAGTAACCCAAGTAGTCAATCTTCCTTTGATGGAACTCACATTTAGAAAGTTTAGTGTATAGCTGAGCAGCACAGTTTCTTTAGTACTGTCTGCACCAGCCTGACGTGCTCCACCATAGTTTCGGAATAGATTAAAATGTCATCTAAATATACCAGTACCCCTTTGTATGTTCGTGCAGCACCTCATTTATCAGCTGCATGAGGACCGCAGGGGCTCCTTGCAGTCTATATAGGAGGTCTCTGAACTAGAAACACCCTAAGGGGCAGTTGAATGCTGTCTT